TATATTCTGTAGGACTCAGTATTCAAATTTGAGGAAAAAATCACAATTAGTTCGATATTGTTATGAAATACATATTATATGAATGTCCACTAATCAAATATAATTCCCACTATTCTTTTCCATTATATAGATAATCTCCACTACTTCTCACCATTATAGTTGTAACTCTCACATCTTCATAATCTCCCCATGATCATCTCCCATATTCTCAATAGTTAATACCACGTTCATGACATCCATTTGTATTACCTCAATATCATTCTATAAATAGAGGGTTTGGGCATCGCATTGTGCACCCTTGGAAAACACTTGAAAAAATAAAAATCTCTCCTCTCTTTCTCTCTACATTCTTGTCTATTTGTTTGTTTCATATTATTACTTTGAGCTATATTTTTTAACACATTATTAGCACGATGTATTAAAACGTCTATATGGTTTGGTTTATTAGTACATAGGATTTATCATGTAATAGTTCTTTAATTTGAATGTTTTACTTTAAAAAAATTATCCTTGAACTATAATAGAGTTACACGATTTATATGGTTGCCAAAAGTGATATAATATTTTTAAATGTTCGAAGGCGAGTCCTTGTACATTCACTTTGGCTTATTATGCCATTAATTGAGGGTAAGACGGTGGATTTAAGGTCCAACGCACCACAAGGGTAAGACATCGGATTTGAGTCCTGATGCACCATGCATGATGATAAGAATTGAGTTTGAGTTCCAACTCGTTATGATCTAACATGCTTTTATATGGGTAAGGCATTGGGTTTGAGTCCCAATGCACCATATTGATGATATAATGATGACTAAAGAAAAATAATGTATTTTTCATGAAAAAGCATGAAGCTTGTCCCACTTGATTTACTCCATTCTTAAAGTGAATTTGGTAGCGGTGCATAATATATTTAAATGAAGACAAGTGGTTGACCAATGAATGCGGCATGCCAAAAACCAAAATAACAATAGTCATCATTGGTAATCGCAAAAAGGAGAAAAATACAAGTTCTCAAAATAATCCTTTCAAAAGGTGAAGGAAAGATTTACTATCAAATTGGTATGGAAAATTTATAAAGCACGTCGCGATAATTATACTCTATTATTTGAAGAGAATGTGACTTATGATAAGCATTAAGAATGCAGACTCATTCCTAAAGGTAAATGTAGCAATATGTGATAAAAGTAATTAGTGAAGACGTGCAATGTATGATTGGATACATATAACAACTCACCTCTAAGGGAGGTTTGAGAGAAAGAAAACTAATGAATATTACCGTATGGTTACATGAATATGTCATTGGTCACGTACATGTGGTATGCCAAAAATATTTTGACATGCCTTGTAAAAGGTTATTAAAGACAAAATTAAAGCAAGAAATGATTTTGCTTATGATTACTTTGACCATGAAAATTTATTATGATATAATTTTCTCCGTAAAGGAGATATTCACCATATGAATGGTGTGACAACAGATCTTATAGTAAAAAAATCAGGTAAGTGCTCTGGAAGAACTAATTTGTTACTACCCGGATAAATGAAATTGTTCATGACATTGATATTATAATAAGTCTCAAAAGAAATTTTTAGAGTTTTAAATATATTAGCCAAAATAGGTGGCATTTGAGACTATAAATAAAAGAAAGATTGAATATCTTCGTATTACAATAATCATATCGGGTAAATATGAAAGATTATCCGATTTTTCTCTTTGTATTATACATGTATAAGCATGATGATAGAATCACATGTCACAAGTAAACTAGATGTTTACTAAAACAAAGATTAGTTGGCATGACCAGTTGGCCATCCCGGTTCAATTATGATGTGAAAATTACTTGAGAATTCACATTAGCATATATTGAAGAAATAGAGATTCTTCAAAAATTCTCTTGTGTTGCTCATTCTCATGATATACCAGTTAAGGTTGGGCTTGAATCCCTTGATATCTGGAACGAATAAAAGATGATATATATGTATGAGCCCAATCACCTGCCATGTGGACCGTTTACTATTATATGATTTTAGTAGATTCATCTATTCTATAGTCACATGTGTGTTTGTTATCAACTTGCAGTTTGGCTTTTGCAAGGTTGCTTGCTCAAATTATTAAAGCACAATTCCATAATAAAAATTATGATAATTTATCTTGATAATGCTGGTTTAAATCCAAATTGGTTTAGCAGAAATTGTATGCCTCCAATTAAAACCATTAGTTATGAGAACAAAACTCCCAAATAGAAATAGAAATTTGGTATGAGGTATATTATTTAATATACAACAGCACTTGTACGCATCTAACCAACAAGTTATGATAAATTCTCCCTATCTTAATTGGTTCAGGATCAGGAACCAAATAATTTGCATCTAGAAATATGGATGTGCTATATGATTTAATTGTTCCACCACAATGCACAAAGACGGGTCCCCAAAGAAAATTGGGGATATGTATCGGTGATCCCAACATTAGAGGGAGAAAATGGGCAGCTGAAAAAGTAATACATGAAATAAATTATTGTGAGTGCACCTAGATCCTCATACAAGAGAATGTGAACTTGAAATTCAAGTGATAATTCATTTGCAAAATATTACCAAGCGCATTTGCTGACCCAAAGCTAAATGTCATATTTCAGCTGCTAAATGCTCCAACTAGATTAAGTCTATGATGGACAAAGTCTATGGCACGCATGAAGGATCATCAGTTCCAAAGATAAAACTCCTTAAAGAAGGAGAGGAGCAAATGATAAAGATGGTCATAATAAGGAGGCAAGTGCTCTAGAAGAGCACCACGACATAATACTTCATAGGACCTCATGGGAGAGGCTCAGATACCTGAAAATAATGAGATAGTGAGATCTCGATAAGTCATGTCTTTAATGAGTGATGATGGAACCGATATAAATTGATCGTCTACGATGTTGTTAATATAATGTAATGCTCAATATTATTAATATTGACGAGGATCTTGAGCTCAAATCTGTCATGGAATTTGGATATATAAATGATTGGCCAAATAAAAAATACAAAATGAAAATTGACTCCATCTGAAAAAATATGAAGTTGGACGGATAGTCCCAACACCTGAAAGTATAAAGCCTAATGGAGATATTGAAATATGATTAGTGTTATATTGCAAAAGGAATACTTGATATAGATTTGTTTATTCTAACAATATTGCCAAGGTTTTGTTGGTTATGCAAATGCAGGCATTTTTTGAAGTTCGTTCTTCAAATAATCTATTTATATGTAAGGGTACTGCCATATTATTATTTCACAAGGCAGTCAATTATTGATACTTATCCAAGTCATATCAATATACTAGCAACTGATAAAGCAAGTGACTCAACACACAACAGATGTGTGACTTTTTCTTGAAGAGAAGATTCCAATAATAGTGAAGGAGATGATATTTATTTATCTTAATTGAAACAAGGATATATTAAATGAGATAGAATAAAGCATATATTTTATCAAAGTTCTTTATCAGACATAATCTTCACCGAACGATGAAATAGATGTTCAACAAATTTGTTCGCTTGATAATTTGGTGTTCTGTTTAGTGAAGCATGAGCAACCTCAACATTTGAGAAGTTGGTATACAAGATCGAACACATCATCTCGGAGAAACAAATTGATGTTTTCATCAGGGGGAGGCAAATACGCGTTGTACTCTTTTTCTCTTAGCTAAGATTTTATCCCACTAGGTTTTTCTCGTAAGGTTTTTAATGAGGCAGCAAATAATGCGTATTACAAGATATGTGTACTCTTTCCTTCGCTGAGATTTTTTCCCACCGAATTTTTTTTAGTAAGGTTTTAACGAGGCATATTATCTGTGGACATCCAAGGGGGAGTGTTATAAAATACATATTATATAATGTCCACTAATCAAATATAACTCCCACTACTCTTCTCCATTATGTAGATAATCCCCACTACTTCTCACCATTATAGTTGCAACTCCACACCTCCATATCTTCCCCATGATCTTCCCTCATATTCTCAATAGTGAATACCATGTTCATGACATCCCTTTGTATTATATCAATGTCATCATATAAATAAAGAGTTTGGGCATCACATTGTATGGGACCGCGGATGTGGCACTGCAGAAGCGGTTAGGGGACCGCAGGTGCGGTCTAAGGCAATGTTGAAATTGGTCGCAGATGCGGCCCAGGTACCATAGAAGTGGCACCGCATCTGCGGGTAAGAGGTCGCAGGTGCGGAAGTTGGGCTTTAATAAAAAGTTGCAGGTGCGGTCCATTTACCGCAGAAACGGGACCGCATGTGCGGTCCCATGGTCGCAGAAGCGGATTCGCTGGCCAGAAAAAAAGTATAAACGAGGGTTTGAACTCAAAATTTGGAAAAACGATTTGGAGCTTGGTTGAGGGCGATTTCTCGAGGGTTTTTGAAAGAGAAACAATGGGTAACGTTTTCTATCTTAATTTTGATCCTAGAATTATAATCTATTGCTGTTTTCCTCTTCTAATTAAGGAAATTGGGTGAGAGTTGCATGGTCATTGCATAAGATTTGCAGGAAGGGAGGGAGTAGTAGAGAAAGAGAGAGTGAGAGTTGGTCGAATAGGTTTAAGGGACAAAACAAGAAAATCTATATAGTTTACTTGTATGTATAATCATTTCTATTAGTCTCATTTGCACGCATGTATAGGTATAAATTAAAGTTAAACATCATATTCACATATTCATTCAATTCAAGCACACATTCTTTAATGCAAAAAGACTGGCAAGGAAATTAAAACAACTGAAATCCAATAAGCATTTAATATTAGTTATAGTTTAGCTAAAACTGGCATCTCAAAGTTCTCAGCTAGTACCAACTTAATACTGAAAATCCACAAAAACAACAAATTGGAAAAGTCAAAAACACCATTGTTCAAGCTAGAACTGAGATATCCCCAGCTACAACTTGAAAAACAACAAAAGACACCAAACTAAATAAAAATTGGATAATTCTATTCCCCCATCTTGTCCGCCAAGCCAATCAACGAGAACCATGAGCTACTATCTCATGGTGTCAAAGCAGTCCTTTTGCAAATAGGACAACAATTCTTGCCCCTCAGCCACTTTCTGATGCAATCATAATGGAATTCATGGCCACAGTCAAGTTGTCCAAGATTGTCCCCGACGCCAAAAGTATCCTATACACATCCAAAGAGAAAGAATCAGGTGGCAAGCAAGCATAAAACTGAGGACAGCTGAAAAAGTTTGGTGCTCCTTACCAAGCATATACAGCAGGAGTCATTGCTATCGTTCATGTTGATCGATTGATGATACTTGTGCTGCTTCAGAAGTGTAGAAATAACTTTCTTCTTCAATCCGGTGCTTGCATCTCCCATATGCTCTTCAAGTGCCATCAATTCCTAAAACACAAACCACCCGTTATTTGAGAAAATATTTGATTGAGTACTTTAAACCATATCACACATTCATGTAGTCTCGGCTTGGTTGAGGGCGATTTCTCGAGGGTTTTTGAAGGAGAAACATTGGGTAACGTTTTCTATCTTAATTTTGATCCTAGAATTATAATCTATTGCTGTTTTCCTCTTCTAATTAAGGAAATTGGGAGTAAAAGTTTGGAAAATAGGAGGAGGTTTCCCCAATTGAAAATTCGAGTTTTGAATGAGATTTTGACGTCAGATTATAGTAGTTTTTGTTCGAGTGTGTTCGTGAGTGATTGGGAGTTCTGAATTTGTAAATTTTATCCAAATTTCGAGATGTGGGCCCGGGGAATTTTTTGGGCGATTTTCTTAATTTCGCGTGTTAACTTCGAATTAATTAGTTAAATTAGTTACTTGAAGTTATATTTACATTGTGCAATTACTTTGAATAGATTTGGGCTATTTGGAGTCAGGTACTCGTGGCAAGAACGTGATTTCGCGTTGATTGAGCCGGTTCGAGGTAAGTGACTTGCCTAACCTTGTGTGGGGAACTCCCCTTAGGATTTGGTATTGTGTTATGTGAGTACCGTGTATATGAGGTGACGAGTGCGTACACGTGTTAATTGTTGAAATCCCATTTTCATTAAGTTAATATCTATGTTTTCTTGTAATTGGGAAATATTTGTACTTAAAGCCTCTTGCTTAGTTTAGGAAAAACATGTTTATGTGATTTAATTGTCTTACCTGCTTTAATTGCCTACTTGTGTTTTGTGCAGCATGTTAGAGTAGAATTTCCTGCTTAAATTCTAGAATAGAACTATAAATTCTTCTGAGATTGTTGTGTGTTATACTTTGGGACTACGGGACGATATCCCGGGAGATCCCCTGCATGTTTACTTTGGGACTACGGATCGGTATTCCGGTAGATCCCCTGCATGTTTACTTTGGGACTATGGATCGGTATTCTGGTAGATCCCCCTGCACATTTATATTTGGGACTACGGGACAACACCAGGTAGATCCCATGTACTGGATATTTACTTTGGGACTACGGATTGGTATTCCGGGAGTTTTCCCTGCATATTTATGATTCAGACTATGGGACGATATCTCGGGAGATCCCCTGTTGCTATTTCTGGGTACTGAGTTAGTTTATTTCTATGATTTTATTCGTTATAGACTATTAGCATTATAATTATGTTGTCATATTCTATCCGGTTTTACCTTATTTTTTTCATCTATAATCAGTAGGACCCTAACCTTCCTCGTCACAATTCAGTCGAGGTTAGGCTTGACACTTACTAAGTACCGTTGTGGTGTGCTCTTGAACTTTTCTGCACATATTTTTCGTGTGCAGATCCAGGTACTTCGGCTCAGCCATACTTTCAGTGAGGCGAGGCGATCTTCAGAGACTTCGAGGTATATCTGCTGCGTCCGCAGACCGAGGAGTCCCTCCCTATTCTCACTTCTAGCTTTAGCTCTCCTGTATTTACTTTGTTTAGATATTCTGGAGTTAGAACACTTTATAGTTATTCCACAGCTTGTGATTTCATGATATTCCGGGGTTTGGGATTTGTTTCAATTTGAGAGTTTATATTTGTATATGTCGAGCGACATCTTAAACGTTTTATTATGTTTTATCCGCAGTTTTTGGCTAGTTTTATCTTTCGTTTTCTTTTCCGCAAATTGTTAGGCTTACCTAGTCATAGAGACTAGGTGTCATCACGACAGTTCACGGAGGGCGAACTTGGGTCGTGACACTACTCTTCTCCATTATGTGGATAATCCCCACTACTTCTCACCATTATAGTTGTAACTCCCACACCTCCATAACCTCCTCATGATCTTCCCCCATATTCTCAATAGTTAATATCATGTTCATGACATCCCTTTGTATTACCTCAATGCCATCCCATAAATAGAGGTTTTGGGCATCACATTATACACACTTGGAAAACACTTGAAGAAATAAGAATCTCTCCGCTCTTTCTCTCTACATTCTTGTCTATTTGCTTATTTCATATTATTATTTTGAGCTAAGTTCTTTAACAGATATATATATGCTACCCTGGAAGATAGAATAATAACCTGCTATAATTTGATTGAAATATAAAATATATTGGTAGTGTAAAAAATATTTATGATTGCAGTGTATATAACTTGATTCCAAACCAGAATCCTCACAATCTATTCTTTAAGTTTAATTTACATGCATGGTCATTGCATAAGATTTGCAGGAAGGGATGGAGTAGTAGAGCAAGAGAGAGTAGGAGTTGGTCGAATAGGTTTAAGGGACAAAACAAGAAAATCTATATAGTTTACTTGTATGTATAATCATTTCTATTAGTCTCATTTGCATGCATGTATAGGTATAAATTAAAGTTAAACATCATATTCACATATTCATTCAATTCAAGCACACATTCTTTAATGCAAAAAGACTGGCAAGGAAATTAAAACAACTAAAATCCAATAAGCATTTAATATTAGTTATAGTTTAGCTAAAACTGGCATCTCAAAGTTCTCAGCTAGTACCAACTTAATACTGAAAATCCACAAAAACACCAAATTGGAAAAGTCAAAAACACCATTGTTCAAGCTAGAACTGAGATATCCCCAGCTACAACTTGACTAATACTGAAAAACAACAAAAGACACCAAACTAAATAAAAATTGGATAATTCTACTCCCCCATCTTGTCCACCAAGCCAATCAACGAGAACCATGAGCTACTATCTCATGGTGTCAAAACAGTCCTTTTGCAAATAGGACAACAATTCTTGCCCCTCAGCCACTTTCTGATGCAATCATAATGGAATTCATGGCCACAGTCAAGTTGTCCAAGATTGTCCCCGACGCCAAAAGTATCCTATACACATCCAAAGAGAAAGAATCAGGTTGCAAGCAAGCGTAAAACTGAGGACAGCTGAAAAAGTTTGGTGCTCCTTACCAAGCATACACAGCAGGAGTCATTGCTATCGTTCATGTTGATCGATTGATGATACTTGTGCTGCTTCAGAAGTGTAGAAATAACTTTTTTCTTCAATCTGGTGCTTGCATCTCCCATATGCTCTTCAAGTGCCAGCAATTCCTAAAACACAAACCACCCGTTATTTGAGAAAATATTTGATTGATTACTTTAAACCATATCACACATTCATGTATTGCGGCTCATTGCATTAATTACCTCATAAGATAGATTCTCAGTATTAACATGAATGGCACCCTGTTGAGCTGCCTCGTGTTCATCTTCTTCATTTTCCTGTAATTTTGAGCTCTCAGTAGCAATGACTATTTTTGCATACCATCTTACACAAAATTGCGTGAAAAAATATGAATGGAAGCTCTACATTTCACTTTGTCATACACCAAAGTATGAAGTAGCATATCTAACATGAACATCAACGACAACGAATCCAGTGTAATCCCATATGGGGTCCGGGGAGGGTAGAGTGTACGCAAACCTTACCCCTACCTTATAAAGGTAGAGAGATTGTTTCTGATATACTCTCACCTCAAGGAACGGTGAAAATAAAGCAACAAACAATAGCAACAACAATGTAATAGAGTAACGGAAGAGCATATCTAACATGCGAAGATTACATTTGGCAACCCTATTTTTATGAACACAAGCTTTTAATGTTCTTAAATCGCCAATTGGAAATGAACAGTATTTAATAGTATAACTATGTCCCGTTACAAGTTACTCATGCAAGCATAATATGGATTTGTTCAATCATGCTGGTAACAAGTGTAGATCATATCTCCAAGTCTTAATTCACAAAATCTTATTTTAAGCCAAATAACATGAAAATGAAAAGCGGTTTAACTGGCAAGTGAGATCAGACTACTTCCTTATAATCATACTAGGTAAAGTATGCAGAATGCTGACCTCGATAACAATGGGTTGATTTCTGCGCCCCGGCTCCCTCACAGCACCAGCCTATGTGTTGAAGATAATTGGGTGATAGTCACAAATAATTATAAGAAGACGAAAAGTATGCTTCAGATATGCAAAGGAAAAGAACAATGATAATCGAAGTGAGTATTAATATTTCAAAAACAGTCAACAACGCGTAGATATTATGAACACAAACCTATTTACGTGCAGTAAATGCATGTTAACAGCCTATGCACAAGCAAACACTTTATAAACTAAGCCACATACAACACATTATCTAGGAAATTCATTGTAGGAAATTCAACCAGATAAGAAAGAAAAATGTACCGAAAGGGGCTCATGCTATATGTATATATACACTCTCTCTAAAGCATCACATGGAATAATAGGAGAAAAAATCATAACGTGTAGACCGCACATCTTAAAGAATCTACAAGTTGATCACTAAAATATTTAATCTTTCTAAAAAAAAAGGACGTGTACTAAAAGCAGGTAAACTAATCATAAAGTCAAGTATACTTTCATGCCTAAGAACTTCAGATATAAAAACATCAACGAGTTGAAGTATCTCCGAAAATATTGAATGCAGTGTGTACTTAAAAGGAGAGGGAGGATTGAGGGAATATTTTAAGGGAAAATTTTTCAGCACCAAAAGACGGATAGCTAAATAAACGAGAAAATCCATGTAGGAAAGAGAATGGCTTGAGAGCTCAACGAAATTAAGAAACTGAACAGTATTCATGTTATGATTGAAGAACTAACCGCAGACACCAGCCTATCTCTGTTATCAGCAGCAACAGTTTCCCCAATTACAAGGGGAAGTGATGGAGGATGAATGTCATTGAACTCTGAGCGCCTTCTCAGAAAATCAGCAATTCTTCTTGTCCTCAGTTCATTTGCTGTCAAATCTCTCATTGCACTACTTGAAGGCTGAATAACAGCATTAGATTGATATCTTGAAGCAGATGGAATATCGCTATGGAAGTTTGTATGTTGCTCAGTGAACATCAAATGTGAAGCGTTTTCCACCAGAGCTATCCTTGAAGCTCCAGGAAAGTGTGTACTCTGAGAAGGTGGAGCTGTTGGAGCGTGCCATAAGCCTTGCATTTGAAGAGAGCTCCCGGCATTATTTGCTCTAGGGATGCGAGGAACTGAAGATGTCTCTACAAAGCTTGAGTTAGTCATGCGTCGTACAGGTGAACTACGTCTCTGAATCAAAGGCTGGAGTCCAGCTGATTTCGCATTTAGCAGAGAGGACATCCTGCACGACGGAGTTGGTGAATAGCGCTGAGTATTTCCAGCAGATATTCCATTTAGGTCTATGCTTAGCTGACGCTCCGGAAGACCGAGGCTGGTATTTCTTGCAAAGTCACTCATAGTACGAGAAGTTCCAGACATGGAAATTCCTCCTGTTGTGCCCCTAGGAGCGATCTGGTTTGACTGACTAGGAGCATGACGATTTCTTGTGCTTGAGCTTGAGCTTGAGCTGCTGGAAGTGCTGTCACGTGCTTTTCTCTTTCTTCCGCAAACGCACTGCTGATTATGCATCACCTCATTTAGATCAAATCCAACTGGCCCATCTATCTCAGAGTCACCGCTGTCAGGAACATATGGAACATTCAGATCTATCATAATACGGATAGAATCAGAAGAAGAGCTTTCTGAATCAATTGATGTGGTCCCATTTGCAGCCAAACCAGTAGCAACGCCAAGAGCGACTGCCGGGGCTGTAGCAAAATCATTACTACCATTAGGAGTTCCGTTAAAGGCTGTATTTCCCGCATTGAAATTGTATCTCCCCATTTGAGAATTCGTAACAAGTTATGTAGCTTACTTCAAAAGATCTAATTAAACCACTCTATCACGGATAATTTCCTGAAATTTCTCGCCGGACCTGTAATTTTACCACGAAATGCAGTTAAATGTCTATAAAACTGGCTCAAACACGACTTTGCAAATGAAATTAATTACATTTCGTCATACCATAGTAAACAAGAATATATAGAAGGTGCAGGCACAAAGAGAGGGAAAAAAGCAGAAAAGGAAAAGGAAAAACATAGAAAAAGCTCTAAAATGTGTGAAATCTATAAGTAAAACTCAAACGTACATAACTTCTATGTATGTCATTTGCAATGATGTAAGAACAAGTTCAATGTAAGTTTGAGTTAACAAGGATTCTAGAGCACACATAAGCTCTTATAAATTCCAAAAGTAAAACAACGAACAATCTCGTATTATCATTTCTAATAGTAGTACATTAGAGGGAGGGGAAAAGATGGGTATAAGTTGTTTGTAGGGCTAAGAAGAAGAATCAATATAAGTTGCTGCGCGCTGCACCATTGCCAAATATCATGTCTTAAGTATTAGACATCCTCAAGTTTTCTTAATTTTTAGGCACAAGAACAACATAACTATTTTCAGAATGCCCTTACGAGTCAGTTGTCAGCAGGATATAATCTTCCATTTGTTTGAAGACCCTTTTTAACATGACACTGACTTAAAAAGAATGATATAGTTTTGGAAACTCAGCAATAAATAGTCTTGCATTACACGAAATTACAACGGTAACCGCAACCTCTACAGAGTTTGTAGTTACTTATGACTCACAAGCCAAACACACGCTCACATTTCTACTACCATCTAGGTCAGCTTCCCCCCACCCCCAACTCCACACAACAACAACAACAACGGCAAAAAACCCAGTAAATTCCCGCAAGTGGGGTCTGGGGAGGGTGAGATGTACGCAGCCTTACCCCAACTCCACACCAAAAAGGAAAAGATATAAAAGTAAAAACGATGTGCCTATAGTGTCAAATTGAGGCTATTGATGATCAAGTTGGCCAAAGATCATCTAAGATATTAATTTCCAAATTAAACTTGAAGAATTTACGAAAACTGTAAAACACATGCCATGTAAAAGTTCACAAGAAAACCACTTGCCAAATAAAGCGCAAACAAATTTTAGGATGATTGTAGCAAACACACCAAATAGAGACATTGAACAAAACTTCTCACTAATCCACAAACCACATAAAATTGGCCGTGGCAAATAAATCAAAACACTGAAATAAGAGAGAACTGAAGTTGAAATTATTTAGTAAACTAAGACTGGATATACCACAAATCAGCCAACACCTTAGTTGCAGGAGCGTCTGAGAATCAAGCGGTCTTGTCTTTGTGGCTGCTGTGCTGCAACAACAAAAAATAAGCAACTTTAGCCTTTATTTCAATAAGTTTTATAATTGAGTCTCCGCACAAAATGATAGAACAAAACAAAGACATGAGAACATTTCTAAAACAAATAAAATTGGAGAAGGAATTAAAGAAAACAAGGCAAAAACACACGCACATAAACTTTCACACATGAAATATCAGAACAATCACATTTGAGAAGTTTAAAACATGAAATGTTTAAGACCAAAGGAAGAACAGTAACACTAAAAATAAGCAGTAGACTAATTACTACATGATACGAACGATATCATTTTGATAACAAATGAAAAGAAAAGAATGTTCCACAAGCCTTATACAGCAAAAGGAGTGTATGGACCTTTTCTCTTCCGGCTTATTTAAGTGGCACGCTTAACCTCTCGGGGGCAGGAGTGTAGGAAACAACCATGGATTGGCCTCTTAGAAGAAGGTAGGTTTATGTGAACCTAGAAGCATAGACTAAAACTTATGGATCTAGTGGTATTAAAACCAACATGGGGTCTCGGCTTAAAAATTTAGATTCAAACAAGCAAGTTCATAGAACTTAATGAGCACATCGAGCAGTGTCTCTACCAAATCTGGTTACATGTTGTATGAGAATACTTTTTCAGAGATCAGACAATGACAGCATCTGACAAAACATCTTTCTCTCAAAAGACAAGAAGTGGCGCAAAGAATTGAATTTTGAAAACCAAAACCTCTACCAAATCCTAATTCACAGAAGAAAAATGTGTAAGGCACATGATGATAATCCGACAAGCCAGTGGATTAGTTGAGATGCACGCAAGCTGTCTCGACACCAATCTTACCCCGAAAAACACACGAAAGAAAGCGATAATTCTTATTCAACTTGAAAACTCTTATTCTATTTAGATTCTATAAAGCTCAAGCATTTAGGCAAAGGTGGAGTCCAGAAAATCCAGTGTCATTTGGACTTACATCTTCTTTACCACCACCCCCCCCTCCACCAAAAAAATTTGCCACCTCAGGGTACAAAAATAATCTAGGGATGAATGACATAACATTCATGACTTGAAACATCATCAGAAAAGCAATTCTTGTTCCAAAAAGAGATGAAACAGGAAATAAATTAAATCAACAAAAACTCATCATAAACAAACCCGATACCTATACTGATGGGAGGTAGCAGGTATCCGGTGGAATAATCGAGGTGCGCAAAAACTGGCCCCGGACACCACCATCAATAAAAAATAATCATAAACAATCAGGGTATGTAAACATGCATGAAAATAAAAAAATCTGGTGCTAACCAATCATTAAGATAAACCAACGAGATCATTCTACAGACAAAAAAACAAAACAAAATAAAGAACCAATGAAAACCATAAACAGGACTCACCATTTCTCACAAGAAAGCAAAAAAGGAGAAATGTGTAAAAAATGAAAGGCCAAAGGGAGGGGATGAATTTATACTAGAAATTAAACAAGTAATTCTTGTAATTAAATTTATCAAATTTAAAGATTGGCAAGAAAATAATTACAACCTTTTCAAGAGTGTAAGAAACCAGAGAGGAGCCTTGTGTATCACAAGCTGTATGCTGATGAAGCAGAGTAGTGAAACTGCCATTTTCATCCTCATTAGCCACCATCAAGATTACATTTATCAGATTACATGAAATATGTTCTTACTTAAAATGCTGTTAACCATTTGTCTTTTGCATAACGATTCACTTTCTTCTTTGTTTGGCTTTTGCTGGGCTCATTGGTCTTTGCTCTTTGTTCAGTAAATGACTATTTCATCAATTTATTAAAGTTGACTCTAAATTTTTTTTTTTTTAAAATATCCAACAATTTATTGAAGTTGACGAAAAAAAAAAATTATTTTAAAGTTGACTCTAAAATTAAAAAAATATTTCTTCATTAATAGTAGGGTTCATGAGAACAAAGTCTAATAAAACATCTCATATATTTGATTAACCCAGCTCCTTATATATTTGTTGGGAAGAATTTTATTCATATTGTAAATGGTCACACGAAATTATTTCCTTTATTTTACCAATCTCTAATGAAAAGAATTATATAATTGAAAAATTATTTGTAATAGGTAATTAAATCATCTCCTACTGATTTTCGAACCCAAGAAAAAATAATCCTAAATCACTCTATGTATTTAACTAACTAAGATCATTTTATCATTTTTGTTTCTGCACAAATAGTGTACATCTAACTAATTATGAGGAAATTTGCATCTTAATTTATTAGGTGGAATTTAATATAGAACATAATAAACCAGTCTATTCTTTTTGTTTAAGGGTTTGGCGCAAGTCTTGACTCTTGTGTAGTAAATTTGAAAATTCGAAAAATATTGTTGACCCAGAATTACAAGATGACCTGTCATTACTGTCAGGAAAATTTAGTTAAGATTACATGGATAGCATGTATTAAATTATAGGGAAGTATTGGGATAACATGTATTGGATGATAAACTTATAGGGAAATTTACTTATTAAATTACTCTTTTTGTTTAGATTTTGGGCTCAGTCCTTACTCTTGTGTTTTACTGAACTCCAGAAGATAACGTTGCTCTCTAAAATAAAAAGATGATTTTGTCATTACTATTATGGGTAGTATGCCTTTTCCACATAATAATGTTTACCCATAAAATGGTACCGTAAAATTTATAACGTGATTTTTAGACACGTGAATTAACTTAACCAAAAAATATGAAATAAGAAAGGATAGAGTCAAGATTATAAAAGAAATACAAGCCTGATTGTATGATTAGACTCTTCGAAAGCAATAATATGAACAATGTTAAGAACAAAGGAAAGCACATAATTTTATAATATGAGAGCAAATTATAGACTTTGAGTACAGATGATTTTTTCGTGTCCTACAATGGATATTAATTCTCCTATTTATAGCTCTATTTAGGGAGACAAGATCTTCAAATCAAGCTCCTCTTGAATGAGAAAAAAACCATCATTGATGGATGCATAACGGTTGGCTATATATACAGAGATTCTTTGTAACGACTGCTCATTGAATCATGTCTTTCCCAATCGATGTCTTCCTTATAAACCTTTGTTATCGGTTCCCATACCTTCGAAATTTACACAACACCAAGCTCATGTTTGTATCTGATGTCAACTATTTGCTGACTAATATATTACCTGTATTCAGTTACACGTGTTACCTCGTAATCCATCCACCTGTAGTTAACCAATTTTATCCTATACAGATAGTCCCCCTACTTTTCGGTGACAATACTTTAGTGTTACCGGAATGTAGATAAAACTTCTTTTCTTAGAGGGTAATTTTTGAATAATTTCTGACATTTGAAAGGACGCACGTCTCTTCGTATTTAATGAACCGAACACGTGTTACCTTGTGATTTGGCAAATATTTCGTCAGTTTTCAAGGTAATCATGACCATGAATTATGTCACTTATGAACTTCTCTCTTATTCTTCGATTTTATTTTTCACTTTTACAAATTCTTCTTCGAATTTTCTCAGAACCGTATTGGAAAATTCATATTTCTCAGTAAAAATCTCCCTACTCAAATTTCTTACCATCATGTCTTCTAACATTGTTGTCCTTGGAAACTCCAGCCTTCTCTTCGGGGGTGGCCCTAAAAAGAACAAAGAAAAGGAAGTTAATGTCGAATTCAAACCTCCTATTGTTAACTCCATCATACCCCTTCAACATAATACCCAATTACACCTTCAAGTCCAAAAAGAATATGTTAATCCCCAAAACAACAAACATTGGCATGTTCGCATATATCCTTCTTCCATTCGTCTTTCTAGCATTCCCGTTGTGAAGGAAGATTGCGAATGGAATAACATTAAAATCTTCGCCCCCAATGAGGTGGAAAGGGTCACTTTCTCCAAACCAGGGTTCATGTATATTTATACATACCCTTTCACTTTGAGATTAGGTCAAGGAATCGACCCCATAATTTTAGAATTCTGCCATCATTAACAAATCTGTTTGGCTCAAGCAGGCCCATCAGTATGGCGTACGGTGGCTTGCCTTCAGAAGTTGTTTTCCGAGATCGAGGAAACCCTAACTCTCGCACACTTGATCAACCTCTATTCCCCAAATATTTTCTGTGGAGGTATGCTAAAACTTAGCAAACGCGACCATCATACCATCCTTACCATTGTTGATGTTGATAATGACTGTGGATGGATAGAACAGTTCATTGTCATTGCTACCAGAGACATCCTCCCGACAACAACACCTGTTATTCCTAAATCTTGGAACCTATTTTGTAAGTCTTCGGATATCGTTTCCTTTCTGTGTTTTAAAAAAACTTCCCTCCTTCGTTAACTTTGTATTTTTCTTATTTCAACTACTCATTGGGAACCACCACAGTTTATGAACCTAGCCCAATGGGTACAGAAAATTTTAGATGTTTCACATTGGAATCTCCAAGATAGAAAGAAATGGCTCCCAAATTTAATTGGAAAACCAATAAGTATGGTAATTAAAAGTTCTTCCTTCCTTCTTTCATTCTTTCAACATGACTTAGAATCAATTTACTGACTCTTTTTCGAAATAAGTAGGTCTTCCAAAAGGATCTTCTGCTTGCCACGCCATTGAAATCTCGATGATCTAGAGGAAGCCCAACGAGCATTGCAAAATGGTCTTGACCAGAAGAGAGATCGTGAAGCCACTCTCGCTTCCGGTGAAGGCGCCTCCTCCCGAAGTTCCCATTCCAATGACAAGAAATCAAAGAGAAAATGTACCACAAAGACCGAGACTCGGGAGAAGCCTTCAACAAAAGAAACTCTAGCAGGACCAGCCACTGTGGTCCTTGTTGATAAAGGAACTGACGATGAAATAGTTCCTCTTTAAAGAAGAAAGAGATCTTCATTGTCTCAACCTAGTGTTCATCCGGGAGAGCTTCACACACCACAACTGGAAGAAGTTCAAGGACTCTTCATAGAAATGGAAATCGTTAAAGACGTTGAGTCTCGCTTTCGGGTTCCTGTTGACATTTCCGCTCAGAGGAATTCTACCCCCGAGGTACCTTCACCATCAACTTCTGAGCCAATTTCAACCGCAACTCTTTCTACCCCAACTGCTACCTCTCCACCGGCCCCAACCGAACAGACAAAAGACGATCCTTCCCCGCGGTCATCTGATCATGGGAATTTAGAGAACACTTTCCTGGTGCCCACTTAAAACCTTAGAGGTAAACGAAGTGCCATACTCACAATTTCGAATGAGTTCCACATACTTCCCAAGATGGTGGAGGTTGCCAACTACCTAAAACCACTGGCCATAGAAAAGTATTGGAGAAAAATAAACTCAATTTCTGTTGAGTGTCTGCTGAACAACAGTATGCAATGTTCGGCTCAACTATCAACCTCACCTTCTTCTCTTCCCTTTTATTTGTTAGAATTTTCCTTCATAACCTTAGCTTTAACCCTTTTTAGTCTAACCTATTGCTTTAGAGGGCCTGCAAAAGTTGATTTTGGATAAAGAGAAACTTACTATAGAACGAAATCAACTTTTAGTTGAAAGGAATTAACTTGTCGATCACTTCCCGGTGCTGGAAAAAAAAGTTGCTCAACTTGGCAAGCTCAAAGCTCGATTAGAGTAATTCGAACAAGACAGAATGGCCCATAACCAAGAAGACGCTCAATTACATAAAGATCTTAAGGAGGCGAAGGCCAAGTGGGCTGATTTGCATTATACCGTAACTGCGGCGGCCGAGCGTGAATCTGCTTTTATGGAGCAAATCAACAACTTGAAAGCAAACTTACGCTTGAAAACCAATGTTAATGTCATCGAGGAAAAGAGAGACAAAATAGAAGAAAGGCTCATAAGGGTCATGGAGCAGAACCAGCTTCATGCGACAACCAATACTGAACTTGATTCCAAGATCATCATTGTGAAAGCCGAAAATGACCAGCTCCAATCAAAAATTGAGAATCTCCGAGCTAAACTCCAAGACCAGGAAGATTCTTCCCTCCTCAAGAAAACTTATTCCATTTATCACATGAAGAGGAAGACTTTGGAGGAGGCCAAAGAATGTATTGCAAACATGGATGACTGCATCTTCCGGGCTGGTGAATTAGAGACAATTGCTCTCGGGAACCTCCCTGCTTGGCCCGTTGCTTCTGAATCTTCGAACACTAGCTCCTAGTATTCGGAAACCGAAGAGCAAGCTGAAGAAGAAGAAGAAGATAAGGATGAAGGACCCGGAAGCGGAACAACCTTCTCCTGAAAAGGAAAATGAAGACTCTTCTCTCCCTTTGGGATATGTCATCAAAAGTAATTGATGCTTATATTTTTCTTTTCCTTTGTAACTATGCCAAAAATTCTTTATTGAGTTTGCCATTTTAAGTAATGAAAGAATTTTTTTTTTGCTTAAATATTGTGTAAGAAATATTCTTTTTTATTTAACTAATAAAGCTCGAGAACTTTTTTTTACATTCGATAACTTTTGATCTCGAGCATTTACACTTTCGGAATCTATCCTTTGACTATGAGTGTTTCATAAGAAGCATAAGAATCTCCTGTTCATTCCGGAACAAGCATTTGAAGTTTTAACAAACTTTCAAACGAAAAAAAATTTAAACTTATTATTTGGACAAGAAATAAGATAAAAACAAAAGGGATTAATTTATCCCTTCCATATTTAAAAGTACATTTACATAAACGCTCATTGTTTAAGTAAATAAAGCTACCGATGTATGTGGCTAACCTGTACATCTTATTTCTAC